TTTTTTTTTTTTGTCTACTTTGGACACTCCTAATTACTTTTAAAAGATTTTATAAGAGCACTCCATAAAGATCCTTGGTGGAGATTATACCACCTATGCTATTTGGATTGAGAAAAATATTTTTTGCTCTCCTTTTGCGAGTACCCCTCTTTTTAATTTTATTACAGCTTTTTTTTTTTTTTTAAATAGTGAGCACTATTGGCTGTTTTTATATTCCTTTTATGCCACATCTTCATTGGTGAGCTTCCACTACCCACACAGTATATCTAGATTCTGACACAGGCAGGGATCATACTGCCCGATCTCTACTGTTTGGTGCTGATCAGAAGCTCAAAAAAACTGCAAGTGCATTTCCATATTTTCTTCACCAAGTATCTACTACACCATATTGTGTCTCCTGCTCTTTTACATGCACTGAGCACCAACTGGATCAGAAGACACTCACAAGGTGCAGTTGTCCTGTCTTCTTAGCAGAAAAACACCCCCAAAGCCTAATGTTTCCACCTCCATGTTTGACGGTGGAGATGGTGTTCTTGGGGTCATAGGCAACATTCTTCCTCCTCCAAACACGGCGAGTTGAGTCAATGCCAAAGAGCTTGATTTTGGTCTCATCTGACCACAACACTTTCAGCCAGTTCTGCTCTGAATCATTCAGATGTTCATTGGCAAACTTCAGACGGGCTTGTAAATGTGCTTTCTTGAGCAGGGGGACCTTGCGGGCGCTGCAGGCTTTCAGTTCTTCACGGCTTAGTGTGTTAACAATTGTTTTCTTGGTGACTATGGTCCCAGCTGCCTTGAGATCCTTAACAAGATCCTCCCATGTAGTTCTGGGCTGATTCCTCACCATTCTTATGATCATTGAAACTCCACGAGGTGAGATCTTGCATGGAGCACCAGACCGAGGGAGACTGACAGTTATTCTGTGTTTCTTCCATTTGTGAAAAATCGCACCAACTGTTGTCACCTTCTCACAAATCTGCTTGGCGATGGTTTTGTAGCCCATTCCAGCCTTGTGTAGGTCTACAATCTTGTCTCTGACATCCTCTTTGGTCTTGGCAATGGTGGAGAGTTTGGAATCTGATTGATTGATTACTTCTGTGGACAGGTGTCTTTTATACAGGTAACGAATTGAGATTCTGAGCACTCTCCTTTGAGAAAGTGCTCCTAATCTCAGCTCGTTACCTGTATAAAAAAAACCTGGAAGTCAGAAATGTTGCTGATTGATAAATACTTATTTCACTCATTGACAATTGACATGCAAATCAATTTATAACTTTTTTGACGTGCGTTTTTCTGGATTTTTGTTTGGTTATTCTGTCTCTCACTGTTAAAGTACACCCACCATTAAAATTATAGACTGATCATTTCTTTGTCAGTGGACAAAAGTTCAAAATCAGCAGGGGCTCAATATATTGGAACATCTCCAAGGGGTAGGGATAGAAAAAGGAGACTCATACAACGGAAACTTTTCTGGATATATGAGTAGGATACCCTATATCCGAAGGGATTGAATATGGATGGGGATTTCTCATGTTTCAGATTACTTTTTATATAATGAGCTTCTTTCATACCATGTAGTTGTGTTTGTTGTTTTTTTAGGTAAGTGACCGATTTCTCCAATGCGTGAACCCTATTCTGCACTGCTTTTACCCAAAGCAGCTTATGTCTGTCTTCTAGGTAGGGCTATTTGAGTGAGGATATTTTTTTTTCTTCTTTTGCCTTAACCCCTTGTTTGTAAGTCAAGTAATGTGTATTTTGTTTTTTTATTTTACTGTAGTAGACGCTATCCAGTTTACTCCCAATATCATGGATACCTTCGAATACAGATAATGGAATCCCAGGAACCATTGGCACAATGAGAATCATATACTATATTTTAAACCACACATTTTGGTGGTGTACTTTGGTATACACTTCACCAATGAATTTGATTATTTGTCCTTTTTTCTTTTGTTTCTTTTTTCTTTAATTTTTTTTATTTCTTACTTTCCCATGACATTTATTTTTTTTCTTTTCATTTTTTATATCTATTTTTTTCATTTTTAAATCCTTTATATTTTTTAATATGATTTAGTTTTTTAATTCTTATCTTTTATTTTATATATTTTTTTATTTATATTTTTTCATTTTTTTATTATTTTTCTCCATTTTTCATAGTTTACTTTTGAATATTTTTTAAATCTTTTTTATTGTTTTTTTTTCATAACTTTTATTTTTCATTTTTATTATTAATTTTATTTTTTCATGATATTTCATTCATGTACTTTATGATCTCTAAATTGTAAATGTAGGAAGATTGTATGTCTATATCACTGTACTCTGAAAATTAACAGGAGGTCTATAATTGATTAGTGTTTAAGTTCTAATATAAACAATAATTGATTTTGTGGATAATAGATGAGGCCTATGAGAGAAATAGGGGTATTCTCTTACAGCAGACGTAGGCATATTAACTGTATGGTTTAATGAATGGTTAGTTAGCACCTTTTTGAACTTTATAGACACCGTACTTGAGGTGCCTGAATTTTTTGGCCGTTTGAGGAATCCATAGTGGTGACGTCATTGCGGCCCATACGACCAACGTTATAGGATATCCAGTCACTCCCTGAGGATAGAGATAGAGATAGAGATATATGGCAGGCTCACAATGCATACTGGATCTCCTGGGGGAAATATGACTTTCATGATATGCGCATATCATGGGATGACGCCTGTTGCTCTGGCAACAGTCCACAATCTCTGTTCTTTCATGTTTATTTTTACAGTTGTATTTACTGGTGTTGCCTAGGTTACACATGATTTTTTTTCACATTCCATAATTGATTGATTTGGGGAGTGGCCACTGCCTTTTTAATTTATTGACTTCTCTATACATGCCTATTGATGAGTGACTTATATTCACCTTGATAAAGGCCATTTGTGCCAAAATGTTGGGTGGGTCTTCTGTCCTCTTTTTGATTAATGAGGTAAATATATTGTAAAGCAATTTATGATTTGACTTATGTATAATTTAATCTTTTGTTACAGTGAATTAATGAATTGTTTATTTATTTTTTGTGTTTTGTTTGGTTAACTACACTGAACAAAATTATAAACGCAACACTTGTTTTTGCCCCCATTTTTCATGAGCTGAACTCAAAGATCTAAGACTTTTTCTATGTACACAAAATACCTATTTCTCTCATATTATTCACAAATCTGTCTAAATCTCTGTAAGTGAACACTTCTCCTTTGCCGAGATAAGCCATCCACCTCACAGGTGTAGCATATCAAGATGCTGATTAGACAGCATGATTATTGCACAGGCCACTCTAAAATGTGCAGTTTTATCACACAGCACAATGCCACATATGTCGCAAGTTTTGACCTGATCTCCATGAGATCTATCTATCCAATCGATTGAGGATTTGGATTGAATTAGGTGGGTATATTGTTTTTCCAGAAAGCTTAAAACTCTATGAAAAGGTGGCAGGAGGTGGATTTCCATGCCTGAGCAATCTGTTTTTGCACGTTAAGGATATGTAGAATAAGTTTTGCTATTGCTCAGGCTATGTAATGGGAAAATCTAGAAGTGAATCATTTAGTGGGGTAAGTGGAAGGTCTACTCCCGCAGCTTTTTTGACTAGTTCACCAACAGTCACCCAAAAGGGTTGGATGCCAGAACTCCACCATATGTGAAGCCTTGTGCCTTTTACGTCTCCAAAAATTGCAGAGGTGTTTGGAAATATTTTATGGAGCCTTGTAGGAGTGTATTAAACAGATACTGCAGTCTTTTAAGAATGATCATTTTAAGAGTAGTGTCACGGGTGGCGGTATGGAAACCGTGACCCCTGAGTGCCTGATGAGAAGTGGGAGTCTTCAGCGTGGAAGTGGATTACAGGGCCCGGTGCAGGGTAACCGCACGCCCCCTGGTGTTGAGCACCAGCATTTTTGCAGCCACATACCAGAACCCTGATTCAGCTTATGCGGATCCCAGGAATTAGGAGCAGGTAATTAAGCAGACCTCCCACGAGCTGAATAGGGAGGCTCTGCAGCAGGGATGTATCCAGTACTGAAGCAAGGCAAGGCTAGAGATAGGCACCATACATGAAAACAAGACAGAACTAGGAGAACAAGGCAAGACTAGAGATAGGCACCATACATGAAAACAAGACAAAACTAGGAGAACCCAGAACCAGAGCAGGACAGAAAGCAGAACCCAGAACACGTACACAAGACATGAGGAAAACAAGAACATAACATGGGCATGACTGGACAGGACTGTACGTGGACTGGGATTACAAGACTAAATAAAACAAGAGATACAAGGTAAAACATATATAAGCACTATATATGAAAAGTATGGGGATTTAGTCACATTATATGATCATATATTGCACAAGCCTGCCAACAACGCCAATGTACCCCATATCTGGCAGGTCCTACTCTGCCTAATGCAAGCTAAACCACTCAAAAAAAAACACACATAGTACTTACCTGAAGAAAGGGCAGAGACTTGAAACACTGCTGCAGGTCCAGACTGAAACAAAAGGAAAATGGAAAACAAACGGATGTGGCTACATAAAACAAACATTTAAAAGAAACCTGGAGACTGGGAATCCCAGGGATGGATTACAGGAATGAACCCAGAAATCCCAGCAATAAAGAAAACCAGACATAGACCAGAAAACCAGAAAAACCAAGCAAGGACAGAAAAAAAGAGTACTAGATACCAGAAGCCAAAGCCAGACATCTCCGCAGAACATAGCATGATGTGACAATTAGCTATACTATCCTGTGATGAAGGGCCCTTCGCCACTTGGTCCTGGAGAGGCCTGCTTGCCAGCCTCCTCCCCTGTGACTATGACTCTTTGATGTATTTGGCTTTAAAAACCCTATTCTACCTTCAGAAAGACTATTTATGTAGGTTGCTTTATTTCTCTTATGTTTTAGTCACCCTGTACCCATTATAGGTGCAGGGTGTATGTAATGTAATTGTTTATAGTGTGTGTGTACTGTGAAATGTATTGCCTGCTCTCCTGTACTGCTGAGGTTTGCTACCAACTAGGTGGATTTGGCTATGGAGCTTGTCTAGTGCCCTCTGTTGGTAGCAACAGCAATATGCACGACCTGAATAGCAAGACTGGTTTATTTACATATTCGGGTAGATTTGCATATTGCTAATTCTGCAGGCACGTGAGATATTTTCTGTTAAATATTGTCTCCCCCACCCCTTTAAAAATGTGCCATTGTGTTATAATAAGTCACTGTATGTTGCCTGCTATGATTTGGCTGTTTGTAATTGTATTGAGTTTTCACAGCATTGTTAATGTAATGACCATATCGGCTAGTCCCAAGCAAAATAGAGGTTTAGACAGTTCTTCTTGATCCCTCTAAATGTAGCCTTGTCTCGTTATGGGAGGGAGCTGTTATAATCACACTGGGGAGTGCTATGCTCTGCATACTCTCCTGAGCTTGACTCTTTTAAGAGCTTGTTCCTGACATGCTCTCCTTGGAGGAGAGGTCTTCCCCACACAGTCCTGGATGCTGGATGTTCATACAGGGTGGAAGGAAGAGGTCTTTCCCACATGGTCCTAGAGGACAGAAGCTGATCCAGGGTGGAAGGAAGACGGCGAGACTCCAGTCAAGCTACAGCGGTTGCGGAGTCTGCGATGGTTGTGGTGTCCAGTGCGGTGCTTGTGGTCCTCGGCGCAAACTAGGAAGCGTCCATCAATGGAGGGTACTCGGTCGGATTACAGGGAGCTCCGTTACATATCCAAACAGGAATAATTCAGAGGGCTTCTTAGTAATCGTAAGACCTACATTTATAAGATCATTTCCACTCATGTTGAAAGTATAGCTAAGTTGGTTATGAATGGATCGCAAGATACCTATACACATTGCCTGGATCTTGTTGTGGTTCAATGAGTAATATGAAATTGTACTATATGCCTTTATTTCTGCCAAGACAGACGGTAGCGATAGGAGTGGTTGAGTGAGGGATTACAAGATGTCCTCTGCAAATTAACTAACCTTAACCTCCCTCACTCCCATATCCACCCTTTTAATATCGGGGTTTCTCCTAATAGAATGATGCACCGTTCCAGGGCCATATATATAACAGGGTATAAAAAGCACCCCTATCTAGTGTCGTTGGTTAAGAAAAAATGCTGAGATAAAAACCCTCCCTGCCAATTTTGTGCCAGCAGTGTATTGTATAACGTTACTATAGGATGTAATCATGTAGAAAACCAAATTTGTTAAATATTGCCTCTAGGAATCTCCAGCTCAGGCAGTAAAAAGCTTTTTCTGCATCAAGCACCACGAGTCCGCCTCAACTTGGGAAGAATCAGAGACAGTTTCCTGGTGTTATCCTGTCTACCCTTTCTAACCAGTGTGATCATTCTCTATTAAATGTGGGAGCAAGCTGTTTAAACGGTTTGCTGGTATTTTGGCATATATCTTAATGTCCATGGGTCCATGGTTAAAAGGGAGATCGGGCGATGTTTTTTGTAACAATCACTTACCTTTCCCTGCTGGAGCCACGCAGTGCAGCATTCTCCTCCCATACTTCCAGGAGGCGGCTCAGTCCTTCTGACGCCGGCCGCTCGCAACACACCCATTTTTATGACGCAGCGCATGCGCGCCAACGTCCGCAAAATAGTGCCGCCAAAATTCTAATGTGGCCACGCTCCCGGACCTTTTGGGGGCGTGGCTTTAAAGCTAAAGATCCCACACTATAAAAGGGCAACCATGGCACTTGTTAGGTGCCCTAGTGTGGTTCTTGTTTGAGTCCTCTAGCGCTCTTTATATTCTGATTGTCTTTTTTGGTATCTGACTCTTGGCTTCCACTCTGACTATTCTGTTCTCTGGTTTCCCATTATTTTGGCTTGGATTATCGTGTGCCCGTCTTTTGTATTCCCTTGACCACTGGCTATTCCTTTGACTACTCTCAGATGCAAGTCCAGCCACCCTAAGGTCCGGTAAACGTCTTTCTCTGGGTTTCACTCTGTGTGAAGGGGTCACTGTCGTGGGATGGGATGTTTATCTGGTTTAGGCAGTCACAATAATGACTGGTAACATGTTGAACTGTAAGACCCGAGCAGCTGTGTGAAATACTCAAAGTAAGTATGGTCCAATTACATATTATATATACATATATATATATATATACACACACACACACGTGATACTCAAAAAATTAGAATATCATTCAAAAGTTCATTTATTTCAGTAATGCAACGTAAAAGGGGAAACTAATATATGAGATAGACGCATTACATGCAAAGCAAGATAGTTCAAGCTGTGATTTGTCATAAGTGCGATGATTATGGCTTACAGCTCATGAAAACCCGAATCCACAATCTTAGTAAATTAGAATATTGTGAAAAGGTGCAATATTCTAGGCTCACAGTGTCCCACTCTAATCAGCTAAGTAAGCCATAACACATGTGTAACAGCACCCCCAGGCATAAAAGGGTTAAACCGCCGTTTAGTAGATCTTCCCTTCCAGAGATGCAGGCACAGCTACTGTAGAACACCAAACTCCCGAACCGCATGTAAGGGAATGCTCCAAACTCCCGAACGGCATACAATATAGCACTCCAAACTCACAAACTGGAACCATACGAATAGCTGCTAGCAGACGAATAGGAAAAGTATCCAAGCGGCTTACACTCCTAGCAATCAGTCTTTATCAGCATTCAATAAATCCCCCCAAAGATGAGACAAGGCTCCGTGTTGATGGTCAAGCAGTGGTCTGTTTAATGAGTGCTACCTGCCCAGTATTTATGCAGGTCTCCCACTTGGTGGACACTCCCCTAGGGGATCAAATGGGAGACTGTGACAAAAGACAGACAATCAGCAAAATAGGACACACAGTCACATTATATTCCCACAATGCATCATGGCTTCCTCCCCTCTGCCCTGGAGATAATTGAGAAGTAATTCAATTATCTCCCAGGACAAAGGCAAATCGCCATTATGCATGTGGGGATACTAAAATAAGAATTACTGTTAAAATACACTATGTGACACCAGTTACAATAAAACTATACATTTAACATATCCCCAGATAGCTCAGGTCTGAGCGCACATTATTAAGCGAATGGCGCTCAGACTACACGAATACAGTTCAATCGCCATGGAGCCAAAGTGTTCACAAAGTCAATTCTCATACGAATGAGCTCCATGGGATTCCTATCTGGGGTATAGTGCAGTCAGGTGCGACTACCGAATACAGGGCCGTTCGTGCACTTCCACCGAACAAGAAGGGAGGTCGGCGGCTTCAGTGGTGTTCGTGCCAAACTGTCTCCGTTTTTAGTTCCACGAGTTAGGCGTCAAACACCGCTGTGCGTTCGCGTGTTTAAAATGGCCGCGACCTCGTGTTCGTTATACGGTTAACCGCAGCTTCTGGGAGGCTAATTGCCGACACACTCCAGCTCCCAGGTGCTCTAGTCATTCGTGTGGTTGTTCGGTAGATTGAATCTACCAAACACCGGGCAGAAAATCATGAATAGGTCTTTTCTGCAGGGGAAAAGAGGTCTTTTAACATGGGGCCATAATCCAAAGGCAGCAGGCGAGCAACCAGGCTTCTCTAATGCAATGTGGCGTGATTGCTCTCGTCACATCATGCAAAGGGTTTCTGAGCCTTTAAATGGTCTCTCAGTCTGGTTCAGTAGGAATCACAATCATGGGGAAAACTGCTGACCTGACAGTTGTGCAGAAAACCATCATTGACACCCTCCATAAGGAGGGAAAGCACATTAATAGAAAGTTATGTGGAAGGGAAAAGTGTGGAAGAAAAAGGTGCACAAGCAGCAGGGATGACCGCAGCCTGGAGAGGATTGTCAGGAAAAGGCCATTCAAAAGTGTTGGGGACTTTCACAAGGAGTGGACTGAGGCTGGAGTCAGTGCATCAAGAGCCACCACACACAGACGGATCCTGGACATGTGCTTCAGATCTCGTATTCCTCTTATCAAGCTGCTGCTGAACAACAAACAACGTCAGAAGCGTCTTACCTGGGCTAAAGAAAAACAGACCTTGTCTGTTGCTCAGTGGTCCAAAGTACTCTTCTTTTTTTTAATTTTTTTTTAATTCTTTATTTTTGTAGTGCAGTGCGTATCATAAAGAAGAGCTGGAACGTTTACATTACATTTCTCAACAATACAGTTCAAATAATGTCAGAGAAAGATCAGCAAATGTTTAGATAGCTGCACTGTTTTTTTTTTCGTTATAACAATACATGAAAACATAATACAAGGAAACCAAGGCATTATAATACCCAATAAGTCAAAAGATATAAGCACATGGGTACGGACACATATCCACTGGGTTGTAAGTCACGTTAGGAGTATTCTGTTCAAAGCACGTATTTTTGTATTTGTTTTGTGAGACCGATTGTTTGGTCCGTTGTCGAGAGAGGGTCTATATATGCTGTCTGTGAGTCGTGTGCCTGACCGAGCTCTTTGCCCACTTCTCTTAGGTATTGCGTGAGGTATGTGTTACTATCGTTCAGGTCTGTATCGTGGGTCTGCCTCTTTGTCGTCCGTTAGGGGGTATGCACGGTTGGGGTATTGTCAGAATTACAGAATGATCCAGCACGTAGAATTGTGTAACACAGAGGACTGATAGGTAACTTATACCGGACCTTAGAATGGCCGGACTAACGTACGAAGAATAGTCAGGAGGAGCCGAGGTCAAGGGATACAGAAAGAGACACAACGATAAGGAAAAGCCAGGAGTCAGGGATGCCATTAAACAGGGAAGTCAAAATCAATGCCAAAGTCAAATAACCAGAATAACCAAAATCAATAACGCGCTCTCGGACAACCACAAGGGAAACCACGACAGGGCACTGAGCAGGATGAGAACTGGGCCTAAATACCCCTCCTCTAGATCTGATAGGCTGTAACCGGCCTTTGACCCCAAAGGCAGTTACCAGGTTCCAGATTTTGCATAATTGCTGCTCAGCATTAACCCTTCTGTGGACTTGGTTGCTGCTCGGCACAACTTTTCATGTGTGGACAGTAAATGCCATTAACCACATTTTTATAAGCGGATGAATACGTGACATTACCCCCCACCTGAAGAACGAACCGGGCGGGCAGGACCAGGCTTGAGAGGAAATTTGGCATGAAAATAGTGAATCTTGCTGCCAGCATGTATATCAGATGCCGGAACCCAAGAACAATCGGCTGGTCCATAACCTTTCCAATCCACCAAGTACTGTAAAGTGCCCCGAGAAAACCTGGAATCAATTATGGAGGAGACCTCATACTCTTCCTGTCCAGAAACAACTAAGGGAGGAGGAGGGACACTTGAAACAGTATATTTATTGCAAACAAGAGGTTTGAGCAAGGACACATGAAAGGTATTAGGAATTTTCAAGAA